AGAAGTACCTTGACCCCTGAGCGCTCACTACTGACTCTACTAGTACAGTCTTTTGCACAAGAAGTACTCTGGCCAAGGCGCTCATGTACTGATATCAAGAAGTACCTTGGACCATGAGCGCTCGCTAGTTGACTAGTGGATAAGAGCTCGCCCGGGCTGACTACACTAGTACAGTCTTATGCACAAGAAGTACTCTGGCCAAGGCGCTCATGTACTGATCTCAAGAAGTACCTTGGACCATGAGCGCTCGCTAGTTGACTAGTGGATAAGAGCTCGCCCGGGCTGACTATACTAGCACAGTCTTATGCACAAGACGTACCTCGGACCATGAGCGCTTGCTAGTTGATTAGTGGATAAGAGCTGGCTGAGACATGGACCTTCATGTCGGTAGTGTGGACAGAGATGAGTTCGAGTAGGTGAGGAAGCCACTCGAGATATGGAATGGAGCACATGTGGTTTGGCATGAAACAAGCCTTGAGCGACTTTTGTAGGTCTTTGCCATGATTGCAGTCCCTAGGAAGTGGCGCAAATTGCCTGCCATCAACTTGGAATGTTGATTGGTGCTCCAGCAGCCGATGCAGTGGCTCGGGCTCCCTATCTGTGACAGCTGCAGAAATTGCAGATGCTCACTTTCCTTACCTGCCGCAGCCGGTGAAGTTGCACAGGCTCAAGCCCCAAAACTGCGGCAGCAGCTGGAGTTGCAAACTCGACGGCGAAGAAACTGTTAAAGCACAGCTGGTCGGATAGTACGAAAACGCCATAAATAGCGTGCAAAACGCAAGTGCTACCAAGAATAGAAGGTTTTAGCACTCATTAACACCTGAAGCGCAACGTTCCAATCAGTGGATCCTGCCAGTGGTTCCTGGCAGTGGTTCCTGCCAATGGTTCCTGGCAGTGGTTCCTGCAGTGGTTCCTGCCAGTGGTTCCTGCCAGTGGTTCCTGGCAGTGGTACCTGCTAGTGGTTCTTGCCAGTGGTTCCTGGCAGTGCTTCCTGCCAGTGGTTGCTGCCAGTGGTTCCTTGCAGTAATTCCTGCCAGTGGTTCCTGCCAGGGTTTTTTTGCAGTGGTTCCTGCCAGTAATTTTTGCCAATGGTTCCCGGCAGTGGTTCCTGCAGTGGTTCCTGGCAGTGGTTCCTGGCTCCTGCCAGTGGTTCCTTGCAATAGTTCCTGCCAGTGATTCCCGGCAGTGGTCCTTGGCAGTGGTTCCTGCCACTGGTTCCTGGCAGTGGTTCCTGCCAGTGGTTCGTGCCAGTGGTTGCTGCCAGTTGTTCTTGGCAGTGGTTCCTGCAGTGGTTCCTGGCAGTGGTTCTTGGCAGTGGTTCCTGGCAGTGGTTCCTGGCAGTGGTTCCTGCCAGTGGTTCCTTGCAGTAGTTCCTGGCAGTGGTTCCTGGCAGTGGTTCCTGGCAGTGGTTCCTGCAGTGGTTCCTGGCAGTGGTTCCTGCTAGTGGTTCTTGCCAGTGGTTCCTGGCAGTGGTTCCTGGCAGTGGTTCCTGCCAGTGGTTGCTGCCAATGGTTCCTGGCAGTGGTTCCTTGCAGTAGTTCCTGCCAGTGGTTCCTGCCAGTGGTTCCTGGCAGTGGTTTCTGCCAGTGGTTCCTGCCAGTGGTTCCTTGCAGTAGTTCCTGCCAGTGATTCTCGGCAGTGGTCCCTGGCAGTGGTTCCTGCCAGTGGTTCCTGCCTGTGGTTCGTGGGAGAGGTTTCTTGCAGTGGTTCCTGCCAGTAATTTTTGCCAATGGTTCCTGGCAGTGGTTCCTGCCAGTGGTTCCTGCCAGTGGTTCCTGCTAGTGGTTCCTGGCAGTGGTTCCTGCCAGTGGTTCCTGCCAGTGATTCCTGCCAGTGGTCCCTGGCAGTGGTTCCTGCCAGTGGTTCCTGGCAGTGGTCCCTGGCAGCGGTTCCTGCAGTGGTTCCTGGCAGTGGTTCCTGGCAGTGGTTCCTGCCAGTGGTTCCTGCCTGTGGTTCCTGGGAGAGGTTTCTTGCAGTGGTTCCTGCCAGTAATTTTTGCCAATGGTTCGTGGCAGTGGTTCCTACCAGTGGTTCCTGCCAGTGGTTGCTGCCAGTGGTTCCTTGCAGAGGTTAGTTCATGCAGTGGTTCCTGGCAGTGGTTCCTGGCCGTCCTTCCTGGCAGTGATTCGTTGCAGTGATTTCCTGCCAGTGGTTCTTGGCAGTGGTTCCTGTAGAAAAGAAACACTCACTTCGGAGATCATCCCGTCGCTATTACGGCATACAGCATGTTGGCTCGTGTGGTGCCATCCTGTTGCTCAATCTGATGCTACAGCGTTCGCTCGACCATTTACATATCGGTACGACTTGATTGACAGGCTGATGCCCAATAACCTATATGTACCGCTTGCTTACCAAGTTCATCGCATTGATATGTATGACTGTGTAAGTTCGCGAAGATGTTCATGCAAACGTTAGCAGGTGGTTGTGTCGCATTTCCAGGCACTCTGGTTGATGACGATGCTGCAGGACCTAGTCAGGCTACCTCTGCAACGTTGTGACGCAGTCATACCAGCATTTTGCAACGTTTGCGCAGTTTCCCGAAGCTGCACCTCAGTCACCAATGCCACAGCCGCACTGGTTCTGAACCCTCAGCGACCCGTAACACACAACTCGTCCCAAAGTGCCTTGCAGGGATCTGAGCCGAGCGTTTTGATTTAGTTGGAGTGTCTGGCAACAGCAGAACTGTGCTTCGAGGCCTGCCATGGTGCGAGTGCGATTCTCGCAATGCCCCTGGTTCGCGGACGAGGACCATGAGTCGCTTGCCAAGAATAGATGTCGCATCGAAACGCCATCTACTGCCAGCTTTTATCGAGGACTTTCATTTCTCGCTCATGCACTTGGATCCTGCTCAGGTTTGTCTCCGGTCTTCAGTCGCCTGCCAGTACCTTGAGCTTACGCCTGAGTTTTAAGCATACCGGGCTGACTGCAATCTAAGCTGCGAGTCTGCCCTAGCAGCCATAGCGGCTGCAGGCACTACTGACCTTGGATGTCCTGTGGCCCAGCGCCGAAAGTGGTCCTGCTGCTCTGCTGAATCAGATATGTTTCACTCGACTGTCTAGCTATGTCAGTTCATGGGCATGAATCCTACAAGGGCGCCTCGATGATGGCGGACATTGGGTTAAAGACGACGCGCTTCCGCCTTGGCAAGCTCAGTTGCAAGTGACAACTCTATCCTGTGCGGGAGCAGCACGAGGCCAGACATGGTCGAGAACCTCAAGACGAAAACGGTTTTTGAAATGCCCCCCGGCACGACACGTCGCAGGCAAGTTCTACTTCATGCATATAAATCAAGTTCCGAGGGTCAACGCTGCATCCGGCGAAGTCTTGCTGCCGAAGACGTCGTCGCCCAAGCGCCTGTGAACCACTGCGGTTGGACGCGCCGCTTTGAGCATCTTAAGCTACACAGTTGCTGAGCAGCTGCGCCAGGCAGAAAACGTGCAACGAGACGACGCCGTTTCCTGGCAGCGCAAGGTGTGATCAATCCAGAGATGCATCGCACAGAGAGAGGTCGTATAAAGAGCGAGAAGGAGAGGTTAAATATGTCTGTGCTAATGCGATAGCAGCCCTGCAGAAATGCACTAAGGAGGCAGCTTGCCAAAGCAGTTTTGTCCATCCAGTACAAGATTGCAGCTGCCAGGTAACCAGGACTTAAAGCACAGTACAGTTTCAGTTCCGCCACCCGTGGCTTGCGAGGCAGTGGCAGACAGGGTGTGACTATCCAGGCGAGCATGTCTGCTGGGTACTCAGACTCCCAGCCAGCTGTGTAGACAGAACAATGTGATGCTCCGATTGCTCGCGTCTGCGTTGCAGCCTTCGAGGGGAAAACGTTCACTTCGGCAAGAAGTATTGTGGTCGTTGGCAGAAAACTGCCCCATGGAGCTACCAAGCTTTCATATACACCAGATCTCTGCAAGCGTCATGCCTGCCTGCTGATGGCTAGCAGCCGTATCTGTTGGACCGATGCTTAGGCGACGGCTTCATGAAGACGCTGGTGGAGAAGATGCGGTGGCGAAATCAGAGCGAGAAGTTTCGCTGTTCGATATGGCCACAATTTCTTGCAGATCAAAAAATGGCATCACGAGGTGCGATTATCTTAGCTGCGTTCGCTGGTAAGTACCCTTGCTGCTTTTCTTGACAGCTCGGTTCTGATTGACAGGCGCTGCCCGCAAGTGCGGGCCAGTGAAGATGCCATCGCGAAACAAGCTGACCAGGCTAGGGCTATAGAACTCGATCATTGAACTCACTATCCGATAGACAGTACACCTTGCGTGATCTCTTTCACGTCGCAGGAGCCAACAGCAGCTCCAGGCAATCATGATGCAGCAGCCGCCAGAGCGTGGCTTCACTGCTTTCACAAGTAAAGCAATATATGGTCAGAGCCGTGTCAGGTCTGCGTCTTGATGCCTGATTGCTGGTGAGGTCACGATCGTTTTCGAGACAATTGCTTGGTGGATACTTTCCGGGCCCTGGGCATGAAGGTCCCTTACCAGCAGCACGGGCCCTTCTACGCTCTGAAGGACTATGAGTCTTCTCTTCCAGCTTTGTCCCAGATTTTGTGTCAATGCGACAGCGATAGGATGGCCGAAGAATGCTTGACAGCTTCCAGCTGGGATCCGAGTGCTAGCTTCGTTTGAGGACACTTGCTTGGTAAACATAGTTCCAGTCTTTGCCGACCAAGGCGAAACATCGTTCCATGCAGCTCTGACATTTTGACGGTTTGCGAGGGAACGTTCATTGTGGCTCACGACGAACATTTCGTTGCTGTCCGCCGAACCGTCGATGATGGGCTGCAGGTCAACTTCGGGAACCGCACTCACAATTGGGTACCTCTGGCACTGCGGTCCACTATCAGCAGAGCTTTCGAGTATGACCACATCTTGAACTTATGGTGTCTGGACATGTCCTTGTGCGATGGGTTCTTTCAAGTCGTACCTGCCGATCTTCATACTTCTGTGGGTGGTGCTGACGTGTCCGGAGGCAAACAAGCCGAAACTTCGGCCATGGAGGAAATTGCGGACATTCTTGATCACTTTCCAGTTTCAGCTCAGGATTCCTACATGAATGTGCAGTTCCCGTTGCACAATGACAATGACTCCCGATCGCGAAGTTCGTCGGCAGGTGGAGATTTCTCATATGACATCGATCAGGATGGAAGCAGCGCCAATGAGTCCTCCATCCATGCACCGGTTCCGCGGCATCATCATGACATACTGAGCCTACGAAGAGTGTCCAACTTTGCGGTTGAAGATGCGAGCGACTGTGAGGATGAGGGATTTTGGGATCTCCGACCAGATTGGTACGAACGTGCCAGGGCTCGAACTGTTTCATCCCTGACATTGGCGCAGTTGAACTCCAGAGAGTCTGCAGGCAGCAGTGATGCTCTCGGAGGTTCTCAGGCGCTTCGCCTAACGAGCAAGAAGCGATCCATGCCAGAGACAAATCCCATGACGACTGCCCAGAGACTGCGCTGCTTGGAGTCCAAGTTCGATGCTTACAAGACCAAAGGAAGACGGATGGCAGTCATGGATGGCTTCTTCCCGAAGCTTCTGCACAGTCCTCAGATAAAGATTCCGTTGACCCCGGAAGAGTTTGTGGCTTTGACTGCAACAGAAGTTGATGCCCTAAAGTATCTGCACCCTCACCCGCGAGATTTGCGGGTGCAGTTTTTCCAACAGGAGCACATGTATTTCATCGACAGTCAAAAAACACAGGGCTCCGTCACGAGCATGATCCACACTTTCGGCCACCACTTCGACGCCGACGCTGTCATTGCAGCCATGTGCGCTGGCCATCGGTGGCCTCGGGCCGGCTATCTAAAGGAGGACATCACCTTTGGCAGCATTCACAAGTTGCAGCTCTTGGCCCCTGAGCTTCTCCATATGCTTGCAGGTCGACCCAGAGATGATGTCCGCATTTGCGAAGTCCTACAACGGCTCCGCCTGCATTTCGACATTGAGGTTGAGATAAGCGCATTGACGTTGAGTGCACAGACCATCAAAGAAGTTTGGAAGGCCCGTGGCGCCGAAGCTGCTCACTATGGCACGTACATGCACTACATCTTCGAAGCTTATCTCAACGGTCACAGCGTGCCAGACTCACCTGAATTGCGCATGATGTGCAAATTTCTCGCGAGCATGCCAACTACCTGCGTTGCATGGCGTACCGAGTGGGTCATCTTTGGCGAAGACGAGGATTTGGCTGGATCCATCGATTCTGTTGCGAGAGACAGCGATGGCACTTTCTTGTTGGTCGACTGGAAACGAACATCAGGCTTGGGTGCAGACACGTCAGCCCATCGCGCACGCAAGATGCTGCCACCGTTGCAGGATTTGCAGGACATAAAAGCAGTGCACTATGATCTCCAACTGAGTGCCTATCGCTACATTCTGGAGAAGTACTACGACGCGAGGGTGTCCGAAATGTTCGTTGTGTGTTGTCACCCGGAACATGGCGACTCGCCGTTCGTGCGCGTTGTGCCAAGATTGGCGCAAGTGACCGATGCGATGATGGCTGCATGGCGCGATTGCAAATGTGGGGCAGATCGAAGAAGCGCAAAACGACAGCGGCTCAGGTCAGGCGTGCTTCATTCCTTCACCGCTTTCTTCGAGTGCTACCCACAGGCCGTGGCTCTGCTGCCTAATGAACGGGACTTCGAGGCTGCATCGAAGCGATGCTGGGAAAAGACGATGTGCACCGCCAGGACGCTGCTCAAACTCCTTGCGGAGAAATATCAACAGAAAAACTATATCATCTATATGTTCGTTCACTCCATGCTGAGGAGTAACCCAGATCTACAGAGAAGAATGGAAGGTCTTATCCCACACCCCTCTGTGGATGACCCTTCGTTGCGCGACTGGCTCGGTGCCATGGTCGGCTTTCTCGTGGTGTATTGTCCTCGATGCTGTGATGCTCGGGATCGGCGCCGCTGGAGCAACGTGGACATAACAGCTGCCGGTGGGACTTCAACATCCGCAGATCTTCCCGGGGGATCCCTGCCACAAGACGTGTTGAATCAGCTTCCAGCCTTTTTCTTTTCTCTTCCATATCTTCAGGCGCTCGCCTGCACATGCTCTCATGTGTTCAGATCCATGCGAAGGCTGGAGCATTGCAGAAACTGTTGCATTCCGATGGACAGTGAAGAGTTCCATGACGAGCAGGTACTGCGACAATTGCAACCTGTCTGTGCTGCAGCTCGCAGTCTGACCATCGCGACGAAACAGTTGGTCATGTTGCAAAGTGTGCCTGCAAATGCTTGCATAGTCTGGCGTGTGAATGCTGTGGTTCGGCATCGGGCAACGGGCAACCGGGTGGTCGGCTTTCTGTCGGACAATCCCTTGTTGGGTCACGCTGCTTTCGATTTATGGCTGCCACGTCGAGTTTCGGGCATCTACATTGGCGTCCGTCAGTGGCAAGGAGAGGAACGTCGAAGTTACTTCAGGGTCGACAATCTGTTCCGTAACGATACCACATGGTCCTTCGGCTTCAATGACCGCCCAACGCAGCCTCATCCCGGAAGAGAACGGTACCGAATACTACCTGATGCTGTCAATCGCTTCCACATGCATTGGAACCAGCACTCATTCAAGATATGCTTGAACGGCGATGGTGTATCTTCTGTCAGTAATCGTCAGCAGCCATTGACAGCTGCGCTTGCCCAGGTCTTCGTTTGGGTGTATTGCAGGCCCGATGCCCAGGGTGCTGAAGCGAACTTGAAGCCTTTGCCGTCATTCATACAGCTTAGTGCAGAAGTGAAGTGTGCTGTGTGCGCGCGGGAGTTTGGCATCCGTGATCTGCGATGGGCTGTCTGTCCTGATTGCGGCACTTGGATATGCAGACATCATGTGCAGAGATCTCCAGCGAGACTGTGCCCGCGTTGTCCGAACATTCTGCTGGACTACGTGGGAGGAAAGGCGTCGGCCAACTTTGATCAGGTCGAGCAGCCACAGCTTCCCGGATTTCCGCAGGACCTTCACCAACAACATGTGGACAGTGGGTTTCCAGACTCTGACAGGCCAGGAGATGTCTCAGGTGGCTCCGCATACGCAGCAGATCTACCTCAAGACGTGCTGCTTAGTTTGGCAACGTGCTTTGCATGTCCAGATTATCTGCAGAGGTTCCAAGCGTGCTCTCGCAATTGTCGCCGCGCAGTGCTGGACCCTAAAGCTTGGCAAGGCCAAGTAATTGACATGGAACCACGAGGCCCAAACTTAGCACAGTTTCTCCGTGCGGCACGTCTGGTTCGCTTGTGGTCCAGAGCTGATGCAGTGGTTCTTCCATCTGGGCGGCTCTCTAAGATGCCGCAAATGCTTCAGAACATGCGAATTGGCTGGCAGTTGGAGTACAAGGCAGCACAAGACGTTCTCAGCACATTGACAAGCTATCTTTGGGAATCATCCCGCCCTCTTTTCGGCCAGGCCGAGTTTTCTGTCACTATGAAGCATCCCGCCACTGCACCGATCGTGGGCGTGCGTGGGACTGACGTGCGTACTGGTATGTTTCGGAGCACATACTGTAGGTTTCAGCGCCCGTTTCAGGAATCAATGTCTGCTGCTTACAGTATGTACGGAGAACAACCTATGCCGGTGACCTGCCAGCGGGGACCGCAGCTCCCAGCAAGTGCAACACACCATGTGAAAGTGGCATGGTCAGAACGCAGGCTGACAATTTGGCTTGACGGATGCTTACAACCAAGTCTGCAGCTGCGGCCGCAAACACCTTCCGGCCCCGGTCCTCATTCAATATTTGTCGCAAAGATTTTCGCTTTGCCAAACTCAGGGCGTGACGATTTTCTTATGCGAGCTTTACCAAGCAAAATCGAGGAGCAGTGCGTCATCAAGTGTCACTCCTGCATGTACACGAGCCGGCTTTCCACCCGTGGCTGCCTGTTGTGTGACCAGTGTCTACATTGGTTTTGCTTCAGGCACATACAGATTGCGGGGCCTGCAGCTTTCTGTGCTCCGTGTGCAGAGACAGTGATCGACGTGCTCGGCGGCGCAACCGCGCTCGAAGAAGTCACTATGGCCTGCGGGGCAGCGGCTGCTTCAGGTCTGGCCAACAGTTCAGCTTGTGCATCCCAGGAAACTCACATGCCAGCAATCGGGGAGAGAGTTGATGAAGAGGAAGCAGAAGCAGTTGCCAGCCATCAGTCTCAGGCAGGTGATCAGCCTGTTGCGGAAACAGAAGCAGTTGCGCAGCAAGACGAACGGCTGACGCAGGAACTGGAAGCCATGTTGGCGGATGATGAAGCTGGCAAACAAAACAGCTTGCTCCAACAAGCCAGGCAAAGACGTAATTTGCCAGGGGCTTCCGACACGATGAAAAGCTTCGCAAAAACGTTTCGAAGTTTTCGGGCTCTTGCAGATCAGAAGCTGCGAGACATCGTCCCCATGCAGAGTTCGGAGGAGTCAAGCATTCCTGAGCATGTGGCACGAATCCGCCGACAGGTCTTGCACCGATTTCCAGATATGGACGAGCAGCTCGTTCGCGTGACCGTTGGCGCTGTGGCCGTATACAGATTAAGGCTCACTGACATACATCTGCGAGAGCTGATCATGCTCTTGTGGATCGTCGAAGGCGAGTCACATATGAGATGTCATCACGGGAATATTTACTTTTTCCACAATGGTGCCTTTACAGTGCATAGAGGAGTTCCGCCACAGGGTGCACTTGCTAGATGCAAGCGCTTCTTTCTTCGCTTGGAAGGCTTGTTCCGCCTCATGGGTTCGCCACGTCTGGTCACCGACGGTGACGTCTTGGATCAGGTTCATCGCCTGTTTGTCGCACAGAACAGCTCCGCCCAGTATCTTTTGAATGCTTGCGAGGACGCAGCAAAAAACCACATTCCCAGCGTCAAGGGCCGCCAGGCCCGATCATCGCGGGCGCTCGAAGCGGATGAAGACATGCCACAGCAAGATGAGCATGCGCAGGAAGGCCCTACGTCTCGCTGTCAAGGCACCGCAGACTCTCTTGCCAGAGCATGTGGCTCATTGCAGAGTAAACTCCTGGATGACAAGATTTTCAATCTTGTGGTGGAATGGTGCGAGAGTGTACAGACACGAGCTGCCGGAGTATCATACACCGACTGTGCCATGCTTTACGACACAGCTCCTGGTCAGCACGTTGTGCCTGCACGGGGGGTGCCTGAGGACAACATATACGTTCACATTCCGCATCCGCTGCTGAGCAACATCGGCGACCCAGCTTTTCAAGCTGCAAGTGACAGGCTTGAGAAGTTCTATACGGAGACCTTCTGGTTGAACAACGATGTGCCTGGGAGTCCTTTATTACACAAGTTTGTGTAGTGTAGTTCAGGTAGATGAATTTTAGTTTCTCATGAATGCGGTGCAGCAGCAGCCTTTGATGCTTTGATGAATGTGACCACACGCCTTCCTCCACTGTCCAGGTCTTTGCTTGCAATCAAGCGGCCATCGCGCTAGCCAAGAGAGGTGAGAACATCGTGCGATGCTTCATTGGAGTAAGTCCGGGAGGCCAGCAACAAGTGAGTGTTCGGTGTAAATAAGATCCTGCAAATCTTGACCGCGTAATTAATGATTTCCTGTGTTCGGTATAGTCGTTCATTACTTGCGTGCTCTTGGATATTGCACAGGTGTCGGGCAATCCTTGTACAGTTCCCATCTCCACGCAGTCTACGCTCCGAATCACGCTTTCATCGACCCGAATATTTGGTACGATGAGCACGAGATGAGGAAGCAAATCGAGCAGTCGGCTGGCTGCTTCATCTTGACAGCGCAGGAGAAGCCCGAGAACTCTCGCCGGATGCGAGAGGACCTGTTCAAAAAAACCATGTCGGCCGACGGGATTGCTGGCCGAAGGCCGTATGGTCTACAGACGCGGATGATCGAATTAGTTGGATGGAAGAGGTACGAAGTAAACAGCATGATTCGTTTTGCAAATGTCTGTGAGAGAAATTTCCCATCGGCTAACAGACGAGGCTGTGTGTGGCACCCAAAGGCACGGTTCATCGATGAGGCCATCATTGCTGGCCCGTATCCCGACGCGAATCGAGACGGCTACTTCAAGAAAGATGAGGAACTCAAAGCGTTTCTGAAGAGCCCACCTTGTGTGGCAGCTGCGCTGCGATTGCAGCACGCATTCGAGACAAGTCATGGGCCACAAGATTGCAGGCAGATGATTGAGGACCTCGCCAGCCAGCCTCTGACGGAGGATTCTATGAGGGAAGCATGCGGTTTGCCTCCACGTCATCGTTCAAGCGAGCCGGAGCCTGCGCTTGCAGTTCCAGTTGACCCAAGCAGCCAGGACGAAGAGAAGGAGTTGATCCAGAAGCTGAGGAATGTCGCTGCAGCAATCCAAGAATATTGCCTCCAAACGAACAGGAATCCGATGACAAAGGGCATGTGGAAGTATGTGAAGTTGCCATCGAACCATCCTACAAACCTTGACAGAGAGATGATGTGGAAGGCTTTACTTGAACGCAAACTTTTGCTGCCTGTCATCGAAAAAAGCGAGAAGTACAAGGATGCTGTAATCCCTTTCGTAGACGTGGGGAGGCCATTGAGTGAGGTCGTCCCTCTCCAGATAGATACAGACGAGTGCTTACACCAAGAAGTGCATGATGTGGACGCAGCCAGAAAGTACATACAAGGCAATGGTAGCAGAGAAGCAAACGTAGCCACGATCATCAAATACTTGGGTGCTGTGGCGAAGCACCTCCGGAAGCCTGGCAGAGCAGGCAAGCAGAGCGCTGCTCGGCACGACGAGATTGCTTCACTGGAAAAGCTATCCAAGAAAATGTCGGACCGCGAAGAAACACTTGCAAGTTTC